ACGATAGCCATATGCTCGCCGGCCTCTGTTGGTACTGCCGGTTTGCACTACGCGCTTGCCGTTTCTCATTCGCACATAAATTGCTGTCGATATATTGGGCTTGAGGGTGCTATCATGGGGCGTATGGAAGGTGTTTGCGTAGTGGACTTTTTGCTGCTATGCCTCGTCCCTCCAGTTGTGTGCCTCTTAAACGGCCTCGCCCTCATGCCGCCCCTCTCTTCTGTCCCTTATTTTTGACTATGAATAGCATTTTGCACATCCCTGGTAGATGTGACCTTGGCCAACAGTTTCTGTAGTGTGTCCCTGCTACTCCCATCATCTTTAGACTGTTTGTTAGTCTGAGTTGCCTTGGTGAACTATATTGTGTGGCCTTAAATTGGCACGAATCGTCATCACCCCACTACGCGCGGTCGCTGTGGACATTGTGCGCTGTGTGCTTGCCTATATTTGGCTGCCCTGGCGGCGGTATATCCTCCATTTAGTATTGTGGGATTTAACAAAATGCGCGGCCACTGGTCGCTGTTGTTGGGCTCTTGGCCGGCTAGAATGGGAGATGGGACATAGTGCCTTTGGTGTGTTTAGCTGACTGAGTTTTGTGCTTGTTCTCTTGTACTACGTTGTATGCATCCACACCCTAGATCGGGCTACCTTCTCATGATTGGCCCTGCGCTCCTTGTGTTAGTGGGTTCTCTCCGTGCTCTAGCCAGATGCTATTAGACCCTACCAGATGGACTCCGTATCGGTTGACTTGTTGTGTGTTCGTTGGGTTGTAGTTATGGTAATTAATGCGGGGTGCCTATGGTTGCATGTATCTTGCCAGGATAACTGTCCGGAGATTTGTCGTGTGACTTTTGCCCCAGTTGACAGGTATCTAATTAGCAAGTTATGCCTTGTTTGTCATTGGGAGGCTGGCCTCCGGGCCAACCCTTCCTGCCTTGAGTTGCCCCGAATGATGCATACACCTCGCTAGTTCTCAACTCTGCTTCCTGGTATGTGGAGCACCACTTTGACCTTCACGCCATGAAGCCGCTATACCTGCACATCGTACTTCCTGCTACTCATAAGTCCTTATGCCTGTCGTCTCTTTTGCTCTACGCGCGACTCCTGTTCCTGGAACTACCAGCCTGTCTCTCTGTGCGATACATTCAGACTAAGGTTTGCTCTACACGTTCCTCTTGGATGAATCTCTGCATTGCAAACGGGCTGTCCCAGACCTCCATCGGATGCCTTGCCTGACCAACCATCATGGCTTATCTTCGATATCATACCCGCCTTATTTAATGTCGTTGGAGACGTTTAAGTCATCCTTTCTTGCTTTCCTCAGAGCCCTTTTTGTATCGCGAGCTGATTACTTTACCTGGGATCACCAGCCCAGTCGCCCCGTCAGGCTGTCCTCTCGACTCACACAACTCCTTTTTCATACTGCTAACGTACCTACCTACGCTTGTTGGTCGGCTGCCCTTCATGGCGTGGCAACCAGCAACCATTCAGTTCACCACGTCATTACTGCGCATCCAGTACGACCCTGCTCTTTCGCTGGCTGGAAGCTCTCTTCCGTCTCATGATTTTATAGCAACTGGCCTTGGGTTTCCCGCGCGACTTGGTCTGCGAGGTGTGGTGCGCGGCTTCAGCACACTGCCAACATCTCTACTTTTTGCGCCTCGCGGGTGCGTAACGCTTGAGTCAGTGTTTTCGGGTGTGCTGCTGATGACCAAGGAACTTGACTATGTCTTAGCTCACACGTCTCATATCCATTGCCCGAGGAATTTGCTTACCCCTCTGTATGACCTTTTGATCTCCGATGCTGATTTTTCCTAGACCTATAGCACTATTGGGCGAGTGTTGAATGCCTAGACCGACCCGGACGCCTTTCAACACCATGTTGCTTGCTTCATTCTAGATTCCACAATGGGCTGATTCGGATTTGGGCCTTGTCTGCCCTTGGGCGGCGTCTGCGGATGTATCGGTCTGTTTCAGCCTGGCTGGCTATGGAGTACCTGTGTTCTTAAATGGTTGTAGGGTATTTGGGGGCTCGGTCTCCTGGCATTTGATCCACTTCGGCGATGCGCCACGCCAGCAGAAGGTTATTTTTTGGGTAGCCCCCTCACGCGACAAATGGGACCCTACCTACGTTGCCACTTATTCGAATCAGTGTCGGCCTACCTTGATGCTCACCCTATGTGCTTACAGCAACTGGTGCTCCCCTTTTAGACACCCAGATGTCTCATCAATTCCCATTGCCCACTTACGCGTCCCCTCCTGACCGCCTCGTCCAAGCGATTGTGCGCACCCTAGTGTGGATGGTTTTTTTGCCATGGCCTTTTAGAAAAGGACATTGCCATTTCCGCTTTGCTTTCAAGCTCCTATGCGGAAGCGGCACTCTTGCCTGTTCGTATCGCCCTGCTCGTTTTGACCTTGCTCTTAGCCACGACTTTCTCGATGTGTACCTTCACACTTTTATTGGCATACCCTCACCTTAACAGCCCTCTCGCTGACATATTTTGGGCTCAGGGTATATTGCTTCATTGCATCGCACATCCATTCTTCAACTCACTGCCATTTTGTTAATGTCACTAATCCTAGATTGCGGATTGAGTCACGCCATGGGACAGATTTCTTTTCGTTTGGGCAGCCATACCTCATCCTTCTTTTTGTTGTTCTATGTAAGTGACGTATTTTGTCTTGGACTGGCCTCTGCATACGATGATGTGAGTCTTTGTCGCGTTCTACTTCTGTCTCGTTTGTCATCACCTCTGGTATGCCCTTCTCCTATACTCTTACTGACCTTGGATCCCTCTCGTCCATTATCCACTCTCGTCTATCATCATACAATACTCTAACGAGTGCTCTTGGGGGACCCCCGGTTTATCCCGTACGTCACCGTATGATCATGAGCTCAAATCCTCTAACCATTGTCGCTTCTGTAATGCGATCTCCTCATCCTCCGTTAGTTCCCACATCTGATCGCGCACTCTTGGAGTTCTTTGTTAGTAGCGTTGTGAGCATCGGCCTAAATATTTCATGAGTGCATATTAATAGCTTTTTGTTGCACTATTTTTTCTAGTTTTCCAGTGACTCAGTTGAGCCATTTATTCTAATGCTTGTTTCTAAAATTAAGGATCTTTGCAGTATCTAACAACTAAGAGCATTTGCACCTAATCAATTCATATATATGTAAACATACTTTAAACATAAACATACCTGAAGATTAGGCTGTTCCTTTCAGCACTAAAGATTTAATCTTCATTGAACAAACACTTAACATTTACATTAAAAAAAATTACTCAATTTACAAGGACTAGTAAAGCTAAAGATACATAGACCACATTCTGGCAAGCTAGGATCTCCCTATGAAAGAATTTATCATTTATCTTGCCAACATATATATGGTGGAAGTCTTATGTTTTGCCTAAGCACTGAATGGTGGTCTAAATGACTGGCTTGATAGTGTGTGATTACAATGATTACAATTCATCCATCTCAAGTATTACACCATGCTTCAAATGCTTTGCATAAAATATTATTGGTCCTTTCCTGAAATCACTGCACATTGTCTAAGCTGCTATACTATCTTTCAAAGAAACTCATTAAATTTAATGAATATTGATCTCTTGACAATACAGAACTATATTTATGTACATATATGTGCATGCTTTTAATAGATGTAAATGTGGGTAACACACACAATACAACCTTAACTGATCCATATCATACAATGTTTTTTGACATCTGGTATAGGCCTTAAATCTATCTATAAACTTATACTATTATATTATTGGAGCTAAGCATCGCATAGCTTTTGGTAATTTTAGAAGTGAAGTATGCAAGACTGGAGTTATTTTCATAACATTCCTTCCCTATCAATTATATATAAATTTCTGACATTGCAATGCACTATAAAAATACAAAACAAGCAACTAAGTTTCAAACAAGAGAAATCTTATCATTGTACAATGCATTAAGAAACAAACAAACAGTCCTGATGGAAGCCTTTGAATAACTTATAGAGCAAAGGAGTGAAAGGTTAAGCAGTTCACAAAACCTAGTAAAACTGAAAACTGAAGAGGAAATCATTTGAAACACACTATTTCTTAATTTTAGTTCCTCATTTACATCAGTGAAATCTAACCATAAAATACAGATTGTAAACATGTTTGCTCCCTGTATGGTTGGCACTGATCTCCACATACTGTATTTCCATTTGCATTAGTCTATCTGAGTAAGTGTAATGGTACTGTACATAGCAGAAAACTAATGAATTATGACACATACTAAACAAAACTATGAAAAACGTCGTCATATATGGTTGTAAATAGCGTAGGAGACGGGGGTTGGGGGGAGATAAGCCATTCACTAACCCATCATCTTTTTAAAACTTTCAAACTCACTCCTTCCTCTTTTGGCAAAGTAACTCTTTACAAATACTTTGCAATGAAGAACCAAACCGAACGGTCGAATCACTCAAATTTGGGGTATCGACGTTGAAAAATATTATTGGATTCAGAAAGTATTTTTGCGGCTCTCTGTGGGAGGAACAGGGAGATAGGCCTACACGCTCCAATTCTCTCGTTATTACTTCCTTATTGCATCAAGCGTGTTGAGAGAGGGGGAGGGTCCTATATTTTTTCCTCATAATATTTCAAGAATTTTCTACGAGTGTTAACTTTGACTTAAGAGGCATTTATTGGCGAGGAAAATCAACCTGGTGGCGGAGGCTGCGAGGAAGGCCACATTCAACGCTTCTTTTTCTCTTCTATTCTCCGATTTTCCGTAACTTTCGGGACTTAATTTCCATAATTCGTCTTTTTCTACCTTGTGGCTCCTCAATCGCAAGCGAGAAGAGACGAATTAAATATACTCCGCACCTGAGCTTCCACGACTCGAAAGAATTGATTGGATTGTCAGCTGCCATCCTCGGCCGCCGCTTCCGTCAACCAACCCTTCTTTATCTCGCTCTATTTCGAACACTTTTAACCCCACTCGCCTCGAATCATGCTCACCTGCTGCTCTAGACCTACTCCATTGTGGGTGGGTACATTACTCATAGTACAAATAAAAATGAACTTGAGTTTTTAAGGTTCTAAGGGCGGGCACTCGGCGCAGGTCACCGTCTTCTTCTTCGCTGAGGAGGACAAAGCCAATTTCCTCGGCCGTGACGTCACCGGACCGCCAGAGCCATCTGTCGGTCGCCGGGGGAACTATACTTCTCTCTCTTCTCTCTTCTTTTCTCTCGTTCTCTTTCTTCTTTCTTTTCGCGTTTTTTGTATCTGATATACTCTTTTATTAATACAATTTGCTATGCAAGCCTATATATATTTCTGTAAGAATTTTTCAAGATATAGCTTTTAACTTTGACGAGAGATTGGGATATCGCGCAATTGTGCGCGATTCGTCGCTACGTGGCGATTTTTATCTTCTTCCTAATACGAATCTTTTATCATCAAGTATTTAATAAAGGTAGTTTTATCCAGTATGAATATGAAAAAATTGTAATCTTGCCATTTCCCCGATATATCAACGTTGCGCATTCCGGCCGTCACTTGTCAGCGTGTTATGGTGTAGAGGGCAGCAGCAGCGCCTCTCCTTTCCGTCACTACTCGAGCCAAGGTGTGTAAACCTGAAGAGAATCCCTATTTTTATCTCTCTATATCGGTATTATCCCTCGTCGAAGGACTTTATCTCGCGGTCCTCTGAGGACGCCAGTTACCCCACATCAGTTCCACAGGGAAAAGAAAATTGATTGAAGGTGCTTTATGAGGAAGATTATCTTAAATTGTGAAAGTGTCGAGTGTGTTATGGTTACCGCGGGAAGTAAACAAATCCGGCATGAGGTTCCGAGTGTTAAATAGCACGTGACCTCTTGTTTCTTGCTGGTGAATTTGTTAGTGATTAGTTCCCTTAACTTAGGACTTCAGATTTGTGGTAAGCCGATGAAAGACTGAAGCATAATTTGCAAAAGGAACCGTGGTAACTTCTTGTTCGTGGTAGAACGTAATTGAAGTGGATATTGCATATGTTGATATTAATATTCCTTTCGAAATATTATCCTTGTTATATGAAGTTCAAGTTGTTAATTCATCATACATGATAAAGATGTTAAAGATAGAGATAACAGTACAAGTAAATGGATAATTTTTAGTATTAAGTGTAGGGAGTCTGTGTTGATACAACTTCACTGAGGTTTATAAAGTTCGTTGTAGGCCGATCTTGATACGGATGTGACTGACACCGTGAAAGTTACTTTTCTCGTCCTTTTTTTCTAATGAAATCCACTCTACCATTGAAATCCACTCACCTCTGACTAACGGTGTCTTCTAACATCATTGAAGCTCGATCCGAATCCACAGTACTTGCACAAGACGTGACACTGCCTGCCACGAAGTCGATGTGAATGTCAGTAGATTTGCAGCGAAGAACGGGGGTGTTTGTGTATGGCAATAAGCAGTCATCCTCTTCGAGTTTCAATGTGCTAATGTTGATAGCTATTAGACATGTTTGCTATTGACGAAAAAAATGTGATTTACACAGCCATATACATGACCTACACACACCAGTGTTATGGCATGCAGTTATTAGTATATCATGAAGGTATACTGTCAAACTTATTCGACTACAACATTAATAATTATATAATTGGCAACTCACAAAACTTAATCCATTGGAATTATTATATATAGGTGACTTATCTGACATTATACTTAACTTAATCATTAAGAGTAATGCACATATAAATTTCGGCAGCATAATTGTGCGAGTTTTCTCCAGCATTCATTCCGTCTTGACTCTTATTTCCACGGTCCTATTTGCCAGCTAAGCGTGCGTGGGTGTGATTGTGAATTTGATTAGTCGGGCGCTTTCGCACTGGGCGGTGTGTCCTCTTTGGTCTGGTGACTTTTCACATGTACAGGCAGCTTTACACAAATTTCTTCACAGCCAAAGATAAAGCAAGCAGGACGACATTGAGCAGGGGATAGGTCTACTCTTTCCCTACGGCGCGCGATGCGGTTACCACCTCGGCCAGGCTAACCCACTCACCCTGACTATGGTCAAAGTTCTCGAAAATTTGTTCAACGCAGTGGATTTGTAGGTCATGAGACGTTTGTTCGCGAAGCTGCGGGATAAAGACGGATTGAGGGAGCATATGGATTGTGGTTGGTTGAGACTGTTTCAGAGCACCCAGTGGTGAGATCCTGTTGATGATACGTACACTGTGATGCACCCGATGCCCTCACATCGATTGTTCCTCAGTCTCCTCTATCCTAGGAGGAACTCTCGCTCAAACTGAAATGAGCCACGATGCAGCGTGAGGGGCTTCTTGCCTTGGTAATGTAACGCTTTCATATTTTTAACTAGGTGTTGAGTTATTAAGGTATTTATTTATCAGTCCTGTAATAATTCTATGATCTCATATTAGCGTTCTTGTGCCTGATAACTCTCTTGAGTGGTGCCTAGCAATGATACTCTGATTGTACGTGTTGCATCGTTTTAGCTAAACTCAGGTTCTTGTTGATTAAGTGTTTTGGTGTGTTGTACTTTGTATTGCATTTTTCATATGCATTATCTAAATTCGACAGAATTCTTAGCTTTCAAATCCATTTGAATTCGGCATTTATTAACTGTGATGTCTGGTTAGCTGAATAAATTCTTCTCCCGTGCCGTCTTTAAATAAGACGCAGATTGCCCGCTCTGTACCCGGAAATTGAGTAGATGAGCGCAAAAGCTGATAAAAATGTCCGGTGAACCCAGCGTGCGGCGCGTTATTGTTGTGAAGCCAGGATAGATCCACTCGCCGCCTCCCCCCCGACCCTCTCTATTCAGCGAATCATCGACGTGCAAATTTGCAGCTGGGCACTGCGGGAAATGCTGTCCGGCTACTTAGCCCGGATGGGCTTGAAAGGCGACCACTCCTCATGACCTGGCCGTCGAGGCCTGTCCCGAGGTTCACACAGGAACATGAACACCTTTGGTGTGCCCGCGAAAGGTTGGTCGGCCGCCTGGTGTAGGGGCCCACCACGCGCCGCGTCTCGCCCAGCAGGTGCGAGAGTCAGTGGATAGGTTCCGCGCTTTTCCTCGGGTGTGGCGTACGCGATCCCAGTCCGTGTACTTCTGCAGCCCGCCGCCGCCTTAGCACCTGCGCGCAGAGTTAGGTTGATTGGTCGCGTCGCCTACAGTGTGCTGCGCACCCACGTCCTTCGCCACCCTCTTTTAACAACAGATTCACGTGTCGACGTCACCTATTCTCGATACCTAGGCTCTGGCCCAGCCCGACCATGGGGCCTACCCACGGCGTATTCGTCAACTGATGTTGCGAGGGTGAGGTAACAAGACCTCGACGCGCTCTCGCCGCCACTCATCTCAGCGACGAAACCACCGCGTGTGGTGGCGATCCCGCGATAACCACCACGTCGCTACATATCCCTCGTGCTTTTCTCCCCATGCGCTTGCGGGACCTGCGAACGTCCGAGAGGACTTCAAACCCTCTCACGCCCGTCTCGCCGGAACATTAGATGGCCTCTAGTGGCGCCGCCCGTGAGAATTGCCACAGTTCGTGCAGGTGGGCCGACGCGGTGGTCGCGTCAGACACCTTGCATCTGGTTATCTCCGTCGGCACATTGGGAATAGCCAGGCGCAAGATAACAAGAACGTGACTCTCAGCGGGCCGTCTACCCACCCATTACGACCAAGGGCAGTGCGTGACCACCCCGACAGCATGACAACACGTGGGCTGGAAACAGCACCTGTGCCAAAAGAAGATGCTTTTACATACATTGTGCTGATAGTCATAGATGCTATCATTCACTTTAAGTATTCTATATTTAATTGATCTCTGATTAACTGATGAAAAAATAATACCACAGGGTCTCTAGCATGTCTTAGGAGTTCGAATTTCGAAAACAGGGTTTATTCCAACACGTTGGGTCGAGTGGTTCACGGTTTAAAGCTTGCCCGATTGACTCACCCCGTGAAAATTACATCCTACATAACTGTACTCATTCTAATTAACACCTCCTCAAGCGCATGAATCTAGTTCATGTATCAGCAGTCTGAGCGATTCAATAGAGCCTCCATAGACGTAAAAAAACTATACGAGGAATCTGTCAGCAGGGTGCTTGAGGACAGCAGGAGGCACTGCTCAACTCTAAGAGGACAGCGATCCTAGAGAGATCCTTTCAGTTGGGCATAGATAACATAGAGAGACTAAGAGACTCAAGAAACCGAGTTGCACACCTAACTCTTGTGGGCGGGCACAATGGGCTCTCCATGATCTAGCGAACGAGATGCAAAGCTACCTCCTGTGTCCTGCCGATAGAGGCGTCATCTTGGAGGGGTGCGGCCCACTTGATAAGCTGATTTGAATTGTAAACTTCGTCACGAACACCAGTTCTTTGAAGGCGGCATTCTGTAGTACAGCGAGTCAGCTCCGAAGTTGCTCACCACGCACTCGCCCCTGCCACCGGCCGACTAACGTCAAGTGTAATTAGAAAATTCCGCGTCTCGGCGAGGATGAGAATGCGAAGATGCTTGCTTGATATGGTTGTTGTCTCGTGCTTCACGTGACTCTTATTGTGACCGCCTTGGAGTACTCCCTACTAGCACAATTTTTGTTCATAGTTACTCGTAGTGATTGCGTAAAGAATGCACATACCCTTTTATGGATTTTTCACATTATTTACTCATTACCAAAGGAACCCTTCTCTCATTCTGGACAACAATAAGCGCCCTCGCGCTCGTCTCCGGATACATTGTAACTTATTGTTATATATCAATTGTCGACAAGATACATTTGCCCGAACTGGCCTGTTAGTACACCAGACAATTGCGATGTCTCCCTCCGGCGATTGGTCATTCAGCTTTTATCATTAGAGTAAATATGCCCTGCGGTTAAGTGTTCGTTCAAAATTATGGGTCATATTAATGGGGTGGGATTCTGGTAATGATAAAAAGGAGTTATAAGAACAATAATCTGCGAAAATATGAATGGCCGAAGATAATAGGAATAAGAAAAAATGTACAACTAGATACCAGCAACGACGAACTCAATAGATGATAAGATCATATTGATAATTTAAGTAAAATGTATTATCGATAATGTTGATAATGCCAAAGATAGGTGATGTTTAATAATAATAATAATAATTGTTATTGTTGTTTAGTTACTTGTCAGTATAATGATAATGATAATGAAGGTACGCATTATAAAAGAGACGTGCATAATGGACATGATTAATAATAATAATCATAATAATGATTCATAAAATAATTAATAATGATGTACCTGATAAGACACCTGTTCAAACTACATAACGCTAGGGCAGCACTTCTGCATGAGCTACGATATCACAGACACCGCTAGGCAACTTTAGGCGTCACTGAATGCACGGAAAAAAGATTAATATATAAGTTACTTAGAAAGAATTTTAGTTGTTAAAATTAGCTTTCTCAAAGCTTCCCATGAGACAAAACATGTCTGCCAGGTGTGACGTCTGTAAACACATCCTTAGGGCATCTAGCAGCGATGAAGCGCAGGGCGAGGGTAACTGATGCAATCATTAAAAATAAATGCTGGATCCCAGATCACGATCGGATCACGGACAATTTATTATTGTCATTATTATTACTATTGTTTGAATATTACATCGTTTATTTGACTTGATTAAATTATTCTTCATATTTGATATTTGCCATATAATTATTACTATTATCATGTCGTTTGTTTGTGGTGTGGTTATGTATATTTATGTATTATTACTTATCATCACTATTTTACTCATTATCGTAGAATATAATTATTATGGGGCATATGTTTTCTATTATTATTTTTTATTATCATTATTATCATTACTTATTATTTACCTCCGCAAAAAGGTTATGTTTTTGTTATGTGGTTAGCTGTCGGTTAGTTAGAGGATAACAAAAAAGAACAGGTTTTTTACGAGAGTCTAGCGTTTCATCATTACCCAGCTTGGTAACATAAAGTTTAGGATTTTTTTGAAGGATTAAGTAGTTAATTGCGACACAGTAGGGGCAAACACACCTGGTCACGATAACTCAAAGTGGTATTTCCAGAAATAAGTTAATGTTTGATTATAATTCTTCAAATATTGATTTTTCTTATTACTTATAATTTGTGGAAAATCAGCTGACAGTATGCACATATGTTATGTTTGTTTATTCACTACTCCACTTATTCATCTTATCGATTCTGTCTACTCCCTAAGTATTACTATTTTTTTTATTCCCCTATATAATTCTTATCTCATCACATCTCATTTCCTATTATTTATCATTACATTATAGTATATTTATAATTTTAGTGGTAATTATTACTATCTTAATGTCTGATCACATAGATATAATGGCCTTATATCTGATATCCTTTTCTATCTCTTAGGCCTCTTATATTGTCCCAATAATGCTAATAATAATGATAACGATAATTAAGGTTTACTATCATGTTATCCATTATTATAATGTATTATCATCACTTATTATCTTATTATCCATTATGCTTATCCCTTGGTACCGTCCATTATCACTTCCATGTTTGATTACCAATAGCAGTAATGTCATTATCATGATCATTCGTTGCTTAATCATTATATACTTCCTTGTTCTCATACAATTTTCCTATTCATCTTTGTATTTTAGTAGAAGTAGGTGTACTAGTAGCATGAAAGTCAGCAAGTGACAAGACCGATATGAAAGATTTTCTTGATCTCAATCTGAACGTATGATTACCTTTCTTAACTGCCTTTAGAAAATTACCCTTCAATGTTCCTCCTTCGAGAAGACTTGCGTCAAAATTTCCCCCAATATCTCGCATACCGCTGCCTGTCGACAATAAACATACCCCAATTTACTCTACCGCCATTCATTCCTATAATCTCTCATCCTAATTTCTGTGTAAGTCTAAATCTTCGCTGTACTGTCTATTCAGGTGCGTACTGGCCGAGCGCAAGAGGCAACACTGTCCCTTTCATTGGGTGGAGTCAGGTCCAAGCGACCTGGACTGGATCCGACTGAAGCATCGTGCCGACAGCTCAAAACTCTTGAAGTGCACAAAGTCTTGCATCGAGGTCAGATCTTGATTCATTTTCGCTTTGGAGACTATAATTCACCACTTTGCTTTAATGTTGTTTGCACTCCCAATATGCTCGAGCCTGCGAATCTGTCATCTTTGATTATGTGCAACTATTATCAGCAAAGACAAAATATTTGTTAAGTGCATGAACCCATACTGCCTTATTAATCGTCAATCTGCCCATTCATATCTGCGTTCCCCTCATCGGGCCCCAGTTTAATTGCTTCTACTAGTCACTATATGTTCCACTGTGTGTAAAATCTAATAATGTATGCCATTCGTAGTACTTAGAACATCTGACCGATCTATCATCTGATGTTCATTTATCTATCTATTTGCTATCTAGCCTGTATTATAATTCTCTCATCATTGTCATCTTGTTGTAAGGTTGAGTGTCGCTGTGTGTTTTTCTTGCATGAGTTTCAGAAGTTCTATGCTTAGGGAATTTGGAAGGGTGAGTACTGAGAGCTCAGTGTTTTAGCGTGACAGGTCATACTGGCTTTATCAGGCTTTTGTTTTGTGTTGGAGTAAGAATTAGTATTGCTGTTCATTTGTGTGTTTGAATGAGTGGTGCGCTATAGAGAATTCTTAGTGCGTCTGGGCGTCAACCATGAGAACTATTCCAAATCTCTAGCTCCATAATGGCCTGTCTGCATTCATTTCCCGTTATGGGACACATACTGCATTAAGGTGTTTGGAAAATCATTCCTTCTTGCCCCGTTCCATTTGTCTGGCGGTGATAGTGAGAACTGCTATGCGTGAGATGAGAGTTTGGTTATCCATGGTTTCGTCTTGGTGGTGCCCCAAGTTTATCGTATGGAGTCAGAATATAATGTTGTATACAGACTGTGGTTGGTTGTTGTATTGTGTTGTGCATGTGTAGTGCGTGGGTGCAGGCGAGTTCGGTTCTTAAGAGACCCCATATGCTCATATTAAAATTCCCTGTTCTCTCCTTCCTCTCCTCATCGTTCTGCAAGTTCTCTCGATACATTCCCTCTCTCTTCTATCGATTCTCAAATTCCTCAATTCCTTCTCACCTCCATCATAGAACCCATATATCCTCTATTACTATTTCTCTACCAAGTATTTTTTTTATCTACTATTATATATATATATATATGTATGTATATATATATTATATATACTTAGAGATTAACTCTGGTGATATAACTAATTTAGTAAGAAGATCTTTATAAATTTTATCATTCACTACTCAACTATCTTACTATATGGATTTCTACTTATAACTCATTATTAGAGTAAGTAATATATTGATAAATCAATAATATTATTCTAAATGGGATATAATTTAATTATTACTTTGCTTACACTTTTTTGATTTTATAAAGAATTAAGTAATTGAAATTGATTCAATTATTAGCTGGTAATATTTGCTCATATAATAACATAAGGTACTTTTAGGGGAATATATCTACTTAATTAATTTTAACTTGTAGTATTCTATATTTATATGGTGTATTGGTATTATATATATACTTAATTATAACTACTATTATCTCACCCCCTTCCAACTCACTTTGCTTTTTCAATATGTTTAACTAACCACATAACCTTTGGTTACAATCTTTAATAGTAATTTGTTTTATACATTACAGCTATAAGTATTACAGGGTGATACATATATATATGACTGAGTATATTAGATCGCGTAATATCTAGTATTTGCCCAGTATATGGTAAAGATATAATAGGTAATCGGTATGTTCACTCCTCAACACCCAACCATCCTGATATAAGGGTAAAAGCCTTAGTCTACCTTGTTCGTGTATCGATTTAATGCTATCAGATAATCGTTGCAATGGTATTAACCTTACCGTCATATAGTTATCTATATAAGGTAGAATATATTGTGCTTGTGTTTAATGACTCATATATATATGCTCTTTATATAAGTGTATATATTATATAATATGATATGCGTGTCAGTGGTTCCATTCTGATCTTATTACAGTATACAAATAAAATTGTCATAGACCACAATCACAAAACACGACAGCTACTAACACAGCATCACTATCTACAACAACAACCACACCTTTAGACACACACACACACACAGCTATGCCCAAATATAAACAGCAACACAAACACACACACACATTACATCACACACACCCTCAGTATATATATATAATATATAATTATATATATAAGTAATCTAACATGTAAATTATTGATGACCCATATCTATAATTTATTTTTTAATTTATTTACAGTATGTGTTGTTGAGTGTATGCTTTAAGTGGTGTGTTGTAGCTGTGTGAATTGATGTTGGATTGATGTTCTGAAGAGCTTGTGTGCTGTTAGTGTGTGTGGGTGTTGAATGTGTTGTGTAAGTACCTTTGTGGGTTGCTCTGGTGGTGTGTCGTTGCTAGTCCCTCTACACACACAACATCCATCACTCGCCAGACCACAAGCGCTTATACTCATCTCCACTACATAGACACTTATCATACACCAGCACACAGCTCACACACATCACAGCACCATAGCGCAAGACAGTAATCATGATAATTTTGCATTACCACCCTATATTCTGATAGTTGGTTCCCTATATTAATGACCATTATAGAGATTGTATATAATGTGAAATATATTATGTGCTGTGTGTGTGTATGAGTCAAGTTTAGATTTAGTTGCATTGTGAATTGTTATTTTTTTCTCTTTTTTCAGTGTATGGGGAGGATGTATGTTGTGAGTGCGATGTGGAAAATATTGTCATTGAATTCCTATAACTATTAAATGTATGTAACAAATTATTGCCAGGCTTAAATTTCAATCCATGAACCCTGGCTTGTTAGGTTGATCTTTCTACTACTTTAAGTCCAATTCGTTCTCACTTCCGTGTTTTACCTCTTTATACGTTACAAAGATCCCAAGGAGATCTCCTTGCCGCCTGAGGGCTGTAACTACTGTAACAGTTGTCTATACTGCTCTATAGCAAGAAGTATATAGCGTAAAGTCCAGGTAATTTAAATTATTGGATTAAAAGTTGAAAGTGATTAACTATTAAGAATTTTTACATGAGGACCATTAAATGCTTTAATATATAATCATAGAATACACTCAATTTTAATGGTAGTTATATATTACAATTAGATTATGGTCTATGATTGAGCTTATATAAGTAACATAGCTAATGAATTTAGATAAAAGTGCAAAGGGAATAACTTACTAAATTACACATGTCTGTATATGTCTTAGTACTTATATACTTAGTATATATATGATGATATTTACCTCTATGATATCTATTAATGTATTATATATATACTAACTACTACTATTTATATATATTATAGGAGTTAGGCACAGTATTTTGCTTTAAGATATATATGTATTAAAGCATAAGATATAGATAAATAACAAGCTATATATATAGCTATTATGCAACATCATACTGCCCAATACAACTAATTAGAGACATAGCTATATTTTTTATATATATATATATATATATATATTATATAGCCTAATATACTCAGTTAAATGAGTATATAGGTAAATAGAATATATTATAGAAACATTTTTTATACTGGCCGATAAATATACAACACTTGAAACATTGCCTCTATTCCATTAGATTCTGTGGTAGCCCTTCACTGCCTGTATGTAGATATGTAATGAATCTGGTCATTAATGAGCATAACTCTTTCACACATGGTATATACTCCTCCATAACTCAGTCTTCGTATATATATACGAGGATATTTATAAAAGATAGTTCATGGGCTGACTCAATCTACAATAATTTCATTTGTGTATACACTTGTAAACTCCAGCTCTGTAGTTGCTTATCATGTCGCTGTGTAGGGACAGGCCTTCTAGAACTTAATATAGTCATCCAGTATTGAGTGCTTGTTTTATATAGGCATTTAGGTCTACCTCGACTACTAGTATTGCATGGGGTAAAGATTTGCCTACCTCCTTAGCATTGTTTTACTCTGGCTATATAGTATTATTTATTAGTAATTGTATTTCAAGGCCTCAATATTTTTTATTTGTAGCCTATGTTATCATTGATTGTATATAAACTGCATAAGGATAAAGCTATTAAATACAATTCTCTAATAGAGCTATTTCATACTCACACACATACATCATATGCACCAACAATTCTCATCCTAATGCCCACCACGTAACACATAGCACTCACCTTGAGTCATATATTTGGACAGAATTGGTTTTATTTGTAAACATTGTAATCCTTCTCTAATGAGCCCATGGCTCCCTCTAACTATTTCCGTGACTTCATGGCTACATTTGTAGGAAAATGACGTCTTACCTCTTAATTCCTCTGCATTATCTACTATCTAATGAAGTACTTATTATGTGATTATAGTGGTGAGAATAGATATATATTCCATATACACTACCTTGGATCATCATCATCTCTCGGCAGTTTTTCCATGAACTCTATATAATATTTCATCTAGCAATCCTGTAACTAATTTGTAGTGTTCAACTGCGACCTTCTCTGGTGCACATTAAACATATTTTATTTTATTATGTCTCATGCCCTATCTTGTTTCGGCTAATTTGATGACATAAGCATTACTACTGCAGTTAATGTAGATAGTTCTCAATATCCTTATCTCGATCTATGTGATATTAAGTTGAAATATGTGAACACTTCATTAAATATATATAAATGCAGATATGTATTTTGCCCTTGTGCTAAAGTAAATGCTAATATAAAATTCAATTATAAAGATATACATATGCTCCTCATAAGTGATAACCAGGTCTAGCTCATGAAAATTAATGTTATTGAGTATGCTATGAACATATTTATGAGTTTTGTAAGCTCTGTTGATGTACGTGAGTGATTGCCGTGTGGATGTAGCTAAAGTGGAGGATAGTGGTGTGTCGCGTGATGTTAATACATTGTTATATATATATTTTATCATTGAGTTATACCATGATATAAATAATTGTGTAAAGTCTTAATATCTATTAAGTATTATAGAAAATAACTTATAAAAACTGTTCTAAGATATTTTTCTTTTCTTGCAGCTAACCTTGATGTAGGCAATGTCATCCCCATTGGAAATCTGCCTGAAGGTACCATCATTTGCAACCTTGAGGAGAAGACTGGTGACCGTGGCCGTATTGCCCGTGGATCTGGCAATTATGCTCAGGTCATTGCCCACAACCCTGAAACCAAGAAGACCCGTGTAAAGCTCCCTTCAGGAGCCAAGAAGGTTTTGCCCTCTGCCAACCGTGCCATGATTGGTAAGTAAAGAAGCTTTGGTATATTCCTGTAAGTGTTGTCCAGCAGTTTGCATACACAAGCTGTTGACTGAATAAAGTATGCTGAATTGCAAAATGACAGCATCAGTAATATATTCTTATGAATATCAACTAGTTGCATTAATATGAAGGACTCCATCCCTGGGTTTGATTGTAGCCATATTTTGTGTAACAAATATATTTATACTACTTTCCTTGTAATATTTATGGCAGTGTTCTCATACATTTTATTGCTGTTGTAGGTATTGTTGCTGGTGGTGGACGTATTGACAAGCCTATCCTGAAGGCTGGTCGTGCCTATCATAAGTATAGGGTGAAGAGGAACTGCTGGCCTAAGGTGCGTGGTGTGGCCATGAACCCGGTAGAGCATCCTCATGGTGGTGGTAACCATCAACATATTGGTAAGGCTTCCACTGTATCCAGAAACAAGAGTGCTGGTCGCAAGGTTGGTCTGATCGCCGCCAGAAGGACTGGTCTCATCCGTGGTACAAAGAAGGACCCAAGGCAGAATGCTTAAAAATCCTAAATAAACTAAACGATGTTTTTTATTTGTCCTTTGTAAACTTTACATTTGGTAACCTATATTTGTTAACATTGAATTACCAGGTAACCCAGCCTAAGGGTTTTCCTTTTCAATTTAGGCTGAAAAATACAACCGTAAGAAACAGTAAGAAACATTACTTTGAATATGACACATTCATTTCTTGCTAAGAGATAATCCACTAGACCAGAGGGAATATAGTACAATTTTAAATTAAGATTTAATGGAACTAGAGTTGTGCAAGAGCCACCTAGATAACTTAAACTATTTGCTGGTCTGCTGCTGCTGTTTTTAGTATACCATGTGCATTTGTATGCTTTTTTTATCATCCTCGAAAGCCGCTGGTAAATAAATGGGAGTTTCGAGTTACGCATGGAAAAGAAAAGTAGGCATTGGAATTAGACTACGATAAATTTGACAACCAGAAGCATCCTAACATAAAAACCCCGTCCGTGCAGATGAGGTTTGCTCGGTGAGACGTCAAAATGGAGAAATCGCGAGCAAAGATGTGTACAAGGTTACTCTAATGTTTAGAGATGTATCGACGGTTTGCCTGTTGCTTTTCAAGGTTAGGCGGTAGTTGGTGGTATGAAATTGCTGCCAGACGCACGCACTGACAGTGCCGCAGAACCCACGAGCTATCAGTTTTCGTGTCCCACCAACCATCAGATATGTCCAAAGAACATTAGTTTTGAGAATTAACTGAACTAAATAGTTGTATCGACAAGAGCCATGTCTGAAATGCTCTGCCTCATGATCTTGTTTCATGATACAAGGCTCCACTTCAGAAAAAGTTTATAAAATGTATTAGGGTCCATTCTCATGGAGTTGGCATAATCTGCTTCCGGTCTGTCAATTCCCGCATTGTTGTCACATGACTTCATAAGTTTTCTATTTGAAGCCAATCTTTACAGCACGTTTTCTTCAGCCTAGATTTTCTTTGCGCACATTGTTATAACGATTCTCTTGTGTTCTACGATCCATGTTGTACAGCACTCGATCCTGTTTGTTACTGCCAGGCTCTGACTGTCCAACTAAAGTCGTTTGGATACCAGTATAAATACCTACGAAAGCCTTAGCCTGCACACACGCTAAGGTCGCCTGTCTGGACAGGGCTGTACTGAACATGATTGGACAACATATACTGAATTAAGAGGCAATTTTGGCTAGCATGTGCTTGTTCCTCATTTCTGAACATCAATTAATTGGCTACTGCATATACAATTACTAAAGATAAAATAAGTAATGGATTAACACCACGTGGCTGCAGATGTCCAAAAATTTAGGCCTTATAAGTATGCATGTCAAAGTAATGACACCAACGGACAGGCAACGTTCCCCCCCCCCCCCAATCCCTTGCTCCTCGTCATTGGGAGGGTAGGAGACGGAGACAGGGTCAATGTGGGGACTCGCCCCCTACCTTGGACCTCAGCCCTTGCCTCGATTAATTTTGCATCGTCTTTTCTCTTCCTTCTCTATTGTCCATATCCCAAAGTGGGAGCGCCGTGCCGTGCTGAAAGGATAAAAGCCTGGCTTTGTGTCTGTCCGGAATGGCCTTCGTAATCCGTTTGCTTTTTCCTCTTTACCCTTGTTACTACCATACTAACCTAAAGCTTTCAACAACTTTTGACAATTAATATATTTTTTCCTAATCGTTCCCATTCTTAACCTTTTCGCCACAGTATTTTATACTGCTGTATGACCTTTCCTTACCTGGGGACTCGAGCCTTACCCTATCGCTATATTTTGAATACCCCGTCAATGAAATTTAATAAATGAATGAAATACAAGAGCTGTCTTACCTTTGACTCTTAATCGCTAACTCATTTTGACCTTTCTTCACAAGTTTATCATAGCACTGTATGATCTTTGATGTTGGTATATTTATTTGTTTTGAACATTGACCACTCTCGTAATTCATAAACATTGCATTATGAACAAAAAATCATTACCCGGGGAGTGCATCCCCAAGCCTCACCCAATCGCTATCTTTTGATTACGCCGCTAATGATTTTGGATGCTGATGCGGTATAATTTTTTCAATAAATAGACAACACCGCAGATTAAGTCAAAGCTAGCGTGATTTCTCAAAACATTGACAAAGTCCTGAACATGGTATAACAGAGAACGTATTATTAAGACAAACTATTATATTTTTCATATTACAGTTAGTGTGTTACTAAAGCTTGTTAATATATATCTTAACTTTATGCTACATTCCATTTCATTGTATCTTAATAGATATGAATGGGTACTTTCATTAGGGTATACAAAGACCAACCTTCACCAATTTTACAAAAATGTAAATGTAAAACAGATGCTTCCTACAACTTTACACAAGGCCTCAACTGATTTAACATTGGGTGTTCCATTTTGCCCCTCCAATCCCTTGCACGTCTCCTTGATCGGTGCCATACCGCCAGAACAGACGCTAGGAAACTGCCGTTAGGAAACTGTCTTTCCCTGTTAAGAATAGGGCACGCTCGACTGACGCATTCATACCTCCAACCCACATCTATGCTCCTCATGCGATGTTCCTCTTTCAGTCATATATATCCTACTATTCTGCCCCGCTTTACAGGAGCCCGTACCCTTGCGTTTCCTTACTTATCCTCCACTCCCCAACCCCCCAACCTGCCGAACATCCTCAAGTAATCCTCCTTTTTCATTTGACAAACTATTCTTCCTCAGATGTATAAGTACCCTCCATTTGATCTAACCAACCCCTATCCTTAACCCATCCCCGTCTGTGAATCCCTATCCTACCCCATTTGCTTTCACTACCATACTCTCTTATACTTCCATTGAAACCTAAGACGATTTGTTCTACTGAAGAACTTTAAACCCCTTTCACCACAATACTTTCTATAGTGATATATGACCACTGAGGCCCAAGATAGGGGATCACCCCTAATTTGCTGACAAAATGTTATGAGGAACACCCTGCACCTGAACAGGAAGTTGGCAACTACCTGTGGATTAGTAATGTATTTAATGATTTGAAGTGCCTCTAAAACATGATTGCCTGCATAAATTTGATTAAGGGGGACGCAAATTTAATGGTTGATGGTTACAAAGTAAAATATATGTGCTAGACATCAGATCATATAGCGCTATGGAAAGGCTTAGTACTGAAAAGGGTAAAGGGGGTTAGTTGATGATTATTGCTACTCTTCAGAAGTCGTATAGCAATTCAGTGGGAAGAGGGGCTGTAGGGAGAGCATGCGTAGCAATTACTTTTGAGTGTAGAGGGAATGGGAGCAGAGAGGTTGGAGGATGGATGAGGTGTATGCATGGTATCTTGGGTCATGATTACATATTTTAAATGTCTTCGAGAGTTTCTGAAGTGGAATTGGTTGGGGAGGTTTGTGAGAAACAGGTTTTCTTATAATGGGGAGAAGAGGGGTCAGAGGTTTAAGGGGCAAAAGGACAGGTTGATGTAGCAGATATTGGAGTGTTTGGAGTAGTGGTGACGATTGGGGTGTCTGGATTTAGAATGTCAAAAGAATTTGAATGGAAGAAGGAAGGGATATAAGTGGGATGAGAAAGGGATAAAAGGAGAACTGTAGAAACCTCTCGGGAAGGAGGGCGAGGGGCAGATCAAAGTACAGTATTGAAATAGGGGCAAGAAAAAAATCGTCTGCGTGCTTCCTTACGAAATAAGTTTGAATCTGAGAATTATCACCTCAGACTCAAATTTGCAGGTAGGGGAGCCCTATAAAATGCATTATTGGGAGCCACCACAATTGGCACATGTGCGTGATTGTGCAGAGCAGTTTGATCGATCATGGCCAGGTTGGGCACACAGAGGGTATCGGGGTGAGGAGCGTGTTTAACAGGGTGGCCTATTTTGACATTGACGGCGGGCGGGGGGGGGGGGGGTGATATGGTCGAGCAAGGAGGGTAGATCAGGTCTACGGAAAGTAATCTTGGCAATATTTGTGGAGGAAACATAAGTTGAAGAATGTGCAAGATTCATTTATTTTTTCTATTTACGTAATCTGGAAGAGTTTTAATTCAGTCGAATAACAATCCATGTATACTTTTATGCAGTTAGATACTACGTCCATGCATGGTGTGCAGTGTATTTTAGGGCTGTTGCTTTAATATACAAGTGAAGATCCTTGATTTTGGACCAAATGAAAGAAAAGGATAATACAAATATACAGAAGGCTCTGCAGAGGAAAAAATACAAAAGCAAATGGGTTCCGAAGCTCCAATACATGGTCATCTGGCTGAACTAGAGAGAGCCACCGTGTTTGGCAGGGATGGAGAAGTTTGTGAGGTTTAACTTCACAGATCGCCTCATACTCCTGAAGCTCCCTTTTCCTCTTACTGCTGCTAGAAAAATAAGAATAGAGTGATCTCAGTCAATCCTCACGGCCGCGAGGAGGAGACCTTGCAGTTTTAGAGGCAAGGAGGTGGATTGAGTGAAAAATGCGTTTTAAGAGGGACAATTCCAGGAAGGACTGCTTTTAATCTGTTTGAAACTGAACTGTACTCTCCCATTATATTTGAAGCTCCATCTGCTGCAAAATCAATTAAGAGTGAAAGAGGCCTATTTAGGACTATTTTTTCCATTATGAAGTTGTATGGGTTTTCCCTGTCCTCAGAAGATTCCAACTCAGAAACATTGACCAGGTAGAAAAAAAATATTAGAATTGATTTAGCACAACATTTTTACATACTGAAGTCGGTGGACTCGTTAAGTATGATAGAAAATTAGCTTTTCTTCCTTTTTTTGACTAGCTCTTCAGTCATTTTGTTTTTTAATTGTCAGCGCATTTAGGCTAGTTCTTTTCGGTCACATTCCTTGGGTTATTGCAGAGTCGGGAAACATGGCCTTCATCTAAGCAATCAGTCCATCAGCTAATGTAAAAGGTAAGTTGTCCTTTGCAATGAAACAGCGAAATAATATTGTAAATGCAAAAACATTAGGATCCTCTGGGGCCGTTCGGGAATCGGTTGGACTGTCAAGCGTTATTGATTTTCAACATG